TGGATTAATCAAGTCAATATTCTATTAACTTCTTCCTCTATTGTCTCTCCATTTATCCAAAAATTTTTAAAAGAAAGATGGGTTAATTAAATTAATTTTTGAAAAAAAAATATTTTTTAAAATTTATTTTAGTTATTTATACTTGAAGAAAGAAGTGTGAGTGAGAATATTAAAGTTTTTTAAATTACCTATATTTTATATTTAAATATTTTAATTTAAAAGTTTTATAATGAGGAAACTGAATTAATTGAGGCTGAAACTTTAAAAATAAAAGAATTTATTTTACAATTAAAAGAAGAAAATGGAGGGGAAAGAAGAACTGTTTAGCATTTTAATTAATTTATAAAATACAAATTTCAGATTGAAATTATTGAAGAAACTTTGGGATTAAAGGAAAAAAGATTCAAAATTTTGAAGAGACGAATATCCGATTGGAATAAAGAAAAGAATTGTCAAATTAAAAAATATCCTCGTTATTATTTTTCATCTTCATTAAACAAAGAAATTATTTATTAAAGAAGGAACGGGGGTAATTTGTATATTTATATTTAATCTTAAATAACTCAAAAATTATTATGAGAATTATTTTCTCAGATTTTTCATTTTATGTCATACCAAAAATTTTACTTTATAGTTGCTTTATAAACAGTTACTTTTCGAACATTTTTAAAATTGTTATTTAAAAAATATTTTGATTGCTAAAACAAAAGAAATATGCAAAAAAGTTTATTTTGATGTTTTGATTGCATTATTAGTTTAAAAGGAAATCTTTGGGGAATTTTTTAACTAAAAATTCAAAACTTGTATATTTGACAAAACAGTCGAAGGTTTCCAAATTTAAATATTCCCAAGATTATTCACAAATTCAAACAATTCATGTCACTTAAGAAAAAATCAGCACTTAAATTATTCACTAAAAAATTTGAGCTATTTGGGTGACAATTTTGCTTTTCTCCTTTCCTCATATATTTAACCTTCTCCTAGGCATTTCAAATGCTGCTAGATGAATAATCCTACAAAAATTTTTCCTTCAAATATATTAGCAATAGAATGACTTTAACAAAATATTATAAAAATTAATATTAACTCATCAAAAAATATTCAAAACAAAATTTATTTATTTTTATTTAAACAACAAATAAAGATGATGTATTAAAACTGCCGAAACCAAAATAAAAAATAGCAGAAAATTCGCTTTTTGTCGCCTTAAATTTTGTTCTAGTTTTGCCTTCAGTATTTCAGCTTTTTCTATTATTTTCTCTTTAATTTCTTCATTTCGTCTTCTATATTCGTCTAATCTAGCAATTCGTTCGTCTATTTCAGCCATACGAAATTCAATCTTAATAAAATATCAAAAAAATAATCATTTAAATCTCAACACATATTTAAACCTTTTCCCTTTTTTCGAGGATTTTTACCTAAAAATAATAGAAAATCTTCTTTTTCTTTAAAAAATACCTACCCATCTTTTCTGAAATTCTTTTCCAACAAAATTATAAACAATAGAGGAAGAAGTTAATAAATTATTAACTTGATTAATCCATAATTTCTCAAAATCTTTTTGTTTTAACATTGAAGGTATTTCCTCAAATTTAGGTAATAAATTCTCCATTATTGCCCCATCCGTAGCTTTAAATATATCAACAAGCATTTCTGGAGGCAATTTTATATTTTGATGTTTTGATTGCATTACTAATTAGTGCCTAAGTACAGCTAAAGAATTTTGCAGATAATTTTTACAAATTTTTATAAATTAATTAGGGTATATATTTGACAGAAAATTATTCGAAAAAACTTGCTTCGAGGGCCCAAACTCCGATCTTCAGCTCTTAGAGCTCTTTTGAATAATATAAATATATTCTGCGCCTCAAAGCAAGTTTTTCCTCTTCGAATATTTAAAGATAAATCCACAAAAATTACCCAAAAAAGCTTTTAATAATATTTAACTACCAGCTATCGGGGCAACAACTTTTTTATACAAATCTTTAACTTTCGTTTAAACATTTTAAATGCTTGCTACTAGATGAATCATCCTTACATTGTATAAAATAACTAATTGATCTTTTTTGACTTTTCCCAACATTTGTAAATAAATAGATAAAATCTAAAGCTATAACTTTTAAGTCTTTTTGAAAATATTGTGTATCAAATTTTCGATTTAATTTAAAAAATAATTTATTTATTATACCTATTTTATATAAAAAATTATTGAAAAAACTTTTTAGTTATTTAAACATTCAAAAAAATGTTTAAAATTTACTCCACCATTATTAATCTTTTTAACTTTTTTAATCTTTATGAGAGGAGAAAAAGAAGGCTAAAGTGCGAATATTAAAAATTTGGTTATATTGTGTAAAGTGTTGAGAGTATTAATTTCAATTTTAAAAAATTCGCAAAACCTCAGGGCCATTAATAAAATAAAATTTAAAATAAAATACCTAGTAAATTCTAAAATGCTTAAACAAGTAAAATATCCAAATCAAAAACTCCGTTATTTTTTAATCAAAGTAAAGGTGTAAAATAATAAATTAAAACCCAAAAACTATCCGAGACTATCTCTCTACATTTTTCATTCTTCTCCTTAAATATTTGTTGACTACATATAATTTGGATTGTTAGTTTAAAATAAATTATTTAAATAAACCCAAAATTCCTCAATTTTAGCGCTACAGACTAAATTTAATTTTTTTGGGAGCCGAACAAAATGTTCGGAATAAGTATACACCTTCGATAATTTTTAAAGGAAAATGGGAATGAAAGGAAAATGCGGGGAAATAATCGGAAGGTAAACTATTGTTAAAATTATTTTCTCGAAAATTAAGTCAAAAAAACATTCACTCGTCTTTCTTTGATTTTTTAATTTCTTTATTATTTTGTGGAGCGCTTTACACACGGACAATACTCATCATCTATATCCCCCTCCGATTTTCGTCTCTTCAAAATTTTTGTTTTGTTTCCTGCATATTCTTCCACAATTTCTTCCTTAAATTTTTTTATTTTTTAAATTTAAATTTAAAAATCAATTACATCTAATCTTCTACGTTCTTCTCGTCTGTTAATTTCTTTTAAAATATTTAACAATTCAGTCCTAATTAATTTATTTTTCTCCATCAAATTCTTTAAATAAAAAATATCAAAAATATAGATGACAAAATTTATACCTCAAATAATTCAACTTTTTCCATGTTTTCACAGATTAATAACTAAAAATTTTGGAAGAAAATATTTTTTCCTTTAAAATATAGAAAATACCCACCCATCTTTTTTTAAAAATTTTTCCAACAAAAATATAAACAATAGAGGAAGAAGTTAATAATTTATTGACTTGATTAATCCACAATTTCTCAAATTCTTTTTGTTTAGACATTGAAGATATTTTGTTAGGTAAGGATTCCATAATTGCCCCATCTGTAGCTTTAAATATATCAACAAGCAATTCAGAAGGTAATTTTTTATTTTGATGTTTTGATTTCATTTATATAAAATTTATTTAAGCTAAAAAACTTTGCGGACTTAAAATTCTTTTATATATTTAACAGAAGAATCTACTAAAACATTTAATCTAACAATAAACAAGTCCTTCAAACCCTCATTAATAAAATTTAAAATAAAAAAGCGTCTTAAAACACATACTATGATATTAAAAATATTTAAAGCAGAAATTTTTTTATTTAAAAAAAATAAATTTGGTAACGATTTATTTATTTTTTAAATTATATTTAAAATTTAAGGAAAATTAATTTTTGAGATCTTAAAAGACAATACACCCGTTATTTAATAAAAGTTTTTTTTATTCTTCAAGACTTCGATTTCTTCGATTTTCTTGAAGTTTAGCAAGTTGTTCTTTTAATTTTAAAATTTCTGCATCTTGTAACTTGAAAATTATCAAGTATTAAAAATTTAAAATTTAAACCTCAATTCTTTCAACCTTCTTTCTAAGTTCAAGAATTAACCCCTAAAAATATCCAAATCTTTTTATTTACAGGGTGACCCAAAAGAAACCGGACACAGGATTCATGCCATAACTTTATTCAAATTAAAGATAATGAGATCAAATAATGATGAAATTATAGAGAGCTAAATGGAGAATAAAATAAAAGAAATCTTTTAGAATTTTCCCTATTCTAATTTGAGATAAGGTTAAAGGAAAGTTTGAAAAATTTTTTGGCATCTAGAGCAGTCTTTTATCTATAGACCTAAAATTACATAACTTTCTTAATCCTTAATCAAAAAATCTTTAATTTTACTATATGATAGAGAAATAAATAATCTACAAAATAAACTTGGAATTATTTAAAAATGATATGAACAAAAAAAGTTCCAAAGGATAGAAAAGTGTCCGGTTTCTTTTGGATCACCCTGTAAATTAATAACCAACCCATTCCTTTTGAAAAACTTTTTCAACAAAAATATAAACAATAGAGGAACAAGTTAATAAAGGATTAACATTAGAAATCCACAACTTTTCAAATTCTTTTTGTTTTGACATTGAAGATATTTCGCCAAATTTGCGTAATAAATTCTCCAAAATTCCCCCCTCTGTAGATTTACATATATCAACAAGCAATTCTGGGGGTAATTTTTTATTTTTTTGCTTTGATTGCATTTTAATATATATTTAGAATATCACAGAAACTGCTAAAGAATACTTTTTAAAAAAAATTAAAGATTCTGTTAAATTCAGTCCAGGTTTTCGAATATTAACTAAATTTAAAACAAAAAGGTGACCGTCCAAAATCAGTAGGGTAACTGTTCTTTTATTGAAATATCCCCTTTATGTCCGCGTGCCAACAAAAATCCATTTAACAAAATTTAAAAATAAAAAAAGTGATGAAACACTTGATTATTAATTAATTTTCAAAACAAAATTTATTTTTTTATTTAAAATTCTGTTTACAAAATTATTTAAATATCTAGTAAAATTTTTTGAGCTTTTTTTAAAAAAAAATATTAACCGTTCTTTCTTGTTTAATTTAACAACCCTTCAATATTCTTATTTTTTATTTAAAAAATAAATATAAAACTATTAGAGCTTCCACCCCATTCAAACAAAATTGAAAAAATTTTGCCTTTCGTCGCAACAAAATTTTAGCTTGCAATATTCTGAGTCTTTCGCGTCTATCAATTTCGTCTCTCAACTGTAAAAGTTTAGTCTCAAGTAAGCCAGCTTTCTCCATAAAAGTCTTAAAAATATAGAAAATATATACAAACTTTTCAAAATTTAAACCTCATATAGCCGAACACTTTCTCTTTCTTTAAGAATTGATAACTAGAAATTTTTGGAAAAAAATATTTTTTTTTCTTTAAAAAAATAACCAACCCATCTTTTTAAAAAACTTTTTCCAACAAATGTAGGAATTATAGAGGAACAAGTCAAGTAAACCAGCACTTGATTACTCCACATTTTCTCAAATTTTTTGTGTTCTACCATTGAAGGTCCATTACTTCTGTCAAATTTTGATAAGATTTCTTCAAGTATTACACGTTCTGAAGCTTTAAATATATCAACAAGTAATTCATTAGGCAATTTTTTGTGTTGATGTTTTGATGGCATTATTAAAAGTTTAGGCCCTTCTAAAAAACTTTGCGGATTTTTCTTTCAAAAATTCGATAACAATTCGTGTCAGTAGAAGTTGTTAAGTATTAATTTTAATTTAAAAGCCTACAAAAAATGTATACTAAAAACTTGAATAAAATTTATAAAATAAAATTAAAAGTGTTCTAAAAACACTTAAATATTTTGAAATATTCAAAATAAAAAATTAATTATTTATTAATTTAAGAAAATTATAAAGAATAATTCTGTTTTAAAATAATTTTTAAAATTATTTAAATGTCTAAATAAAATTTTTGAGCTTCTTAAAAAATCAAAATATGTATTAACCCGTTTACTTATTTAAATACAAAAACCTCCAAATAATTCTCATTTCTTAATTTCTTTGTCTTCTGATGAAACAAAATGAGACCGAGTACGTTTTGCAATTGGACTACTCTCCTCCATTTCCTTTTCAGCCTTTCGTCGCTTAATAATTTTTGCTTGATTTTTCTCGAGTCTTTTTGTGTGTTTTTCCTTAAATTTTTTAAAAATAACAAAAAAGAATTATTTAAATTAATTTACATTTAATTTTTTCCTTTTTTCCTCAAAAAGTTTAGCAATTTGTTTTCTTAATTCAAAAGTTTCATCCTCAAGTAAGTCCACCCTTTCTTCAAGTAATTGCTCTTCTTCTTTCAAACGCTTAAATTAAATTTATTTAAAAAATCTTTTTTAAAAACTAACCTCAATTTTTTCAACAAATTCTCTTTCCTCGCGGATTAATGACTAAAAATAAATATTTTTAAAAAAATCCTTTTTATTTAAATTTACCCATATTTTTTGACAATTTTCTCCAATAAATAAATAAATAATAGCTGAAGAAGTCAACAAAACATTAACTCGATTAACCCACAATTTTTCACATTCTTTTTGTTCTACCATTGATTTTTGTTTTTTGAAAACTTTAGATAATTCAATTATTTCCCCATCAATACCTTCGAATATATCAACAAGCAATTCAAGGGGTAATTTTTTATTTTGATGTTTTGATTGCATTAATAACGTCATAAATTAGAAGGAACTACTGAAAGTGTGGATAACGTTTTGCTGTCTTTCTTAAATCAAATTCGGTCATATAAACGACGGCAAAGTAAAAATTTAATAAAATTGTTAAAAAAACAAAAATAAATTTAAAATAAAATCAAAGCGTTTTAAAACGCTTAAAAATATTCAAAACAAAAAATCATTTATTTTTAAAGAAAATAATAAATTAAAAATGGATACTTATCCCTGATTATCTCCACGCATTTTCCTTTCTCCCTTACTTTTTAAATTTTTGTCTAGCAACAATAAAATTAATAAATTTCCTGCTTCTAGAAATTGTTTGGAAAGGGGATAACACAGAAGCAAAACCCAACACTTTTAGCGACACAGACAAAAATTTTTGAATTTTCAAAGGAATCGAAATCCTCGAATTTTAAATTAAACCTCTAAAATGAGAAGGGAAATGCGACAAGTCAAAAAATATTTAAATGTCTCAAAAACAAAGTCAAAAATAATTAAAATTCTCACGTTTTCTTATTTAAAATAACAACCTCCATAATTTATTTCTCTTTGCCTTTTGATGAAACATAATGTGAACGAGTACGCTTTGCAATTGGCCCATTTTCATCTATTTCCCTCTCATTGCCAGCTTTTCTATGCTTTTTAATTTTCACTCTAATTTTCTCAATTCCTTTCATTTGTTTTTCCTTTAATTTTAATTTTCAAATAAAAATTATTAAAAACTAATTACAATTAATCTCCGTCTTATTTCAATGAGTTTAGCAAATTTTTCTTCAAGAAACTCTTTTTCTTCTCTCAAACGCTTAAATTAATTTCTTTTAAAAAATCTTTTAATAAAAACAACCTTAACCACCTCAATACGCTCTTTTTCCAACCGGATTAACGCCTAAAAAATATATTTTTTAAATCTTTTTCATTTAAATTTACCCATATTTTTTGACAATTTTCCCCAATAAATGTATAAACAATAGATGAAGAAGTTAACAAAACTTTAACATGACGAAATAACATTTCACATCCTTCACAAACTTTGGATGATTTCAACATTGAACCTTCTGTAGATTTAAATATATCAACAAGCAATTCAAGAGGCAAATTCTTATTTTTTGATTGCATTATTAAAAATTTAACTAAAATATAAGGAACTGCTGAAAATGTGAACGGCTTTTTGTGGTTTTTTTTAAATCAGGCTCGGTCATAAAATAACGGAGTCCTCAAAAAGCCGTCAATAAAATAAATTAAAATAAATCAGCTTCCTTTAACACCTACTCAAAAAAATACTTGAAATAAGATGTCTAATTCAACCTCTAACTTCCAAAAAATAATTCAAAGAAAATTTTTATCTGAATAAAAATTATTTAAACACAAATATAATATTTAAACAGACTGAACAATTCCGAAAAAATACCAAAAAAAACTTTTAAATTTTCAATTTTACTTAAAATAAATTTAAACTTCACAATTTTCTTTTCATCTTTACTTGGCTTCTTCATGTGATGAAGCTGAAGGAGAACGTGAACGGCTTCGTTTTGGTGCTGGACTTCCTTCCTCAGCGCCATTCTTTGCTAAAAATATAAATAATTTGAAAAAATTAAAAAAAAACCTGGCGTCGAATTGCTGCGAGAACGTGAACGACGTTCAGATCGCGAGCCTGAACGGTGTGGTGAAGGAGAACGACGTGCAGAAGTTGAACGGCGTGCCGAGCCAGAACGGCTACGAGAACGTGAACGGCTGGGGGAGCGACGACGTTTGCCTCCACTGTCTTCAGAATCGTCAATTAATTTAATTCGGCGGCCGTTAATTTCTTTTCCTAAATAAAAAATTATTTTGAAAATTTTTAAAATCAAAAAAACCTTGAAATTTTTCCATTGCACGACGCAAATCGTCATGAGTAGCGAAACAAACATTTGCCTGGTTACGAACTCGTTTGTGGGCTTCAGCATACGTAACTAAAAAATGCAATTTAAATAAATTCAGAAACGTTTAAAATATTTAAAAATACCGGAAAGTTCTCCTAATAACGAAATTCAATTTATAGAATTTAGAATAGGTTTAATGGGGACCAGTTAACCCTACAAAGAAGTTTCCGGAAATTTTTAAATATTAATTTTAAAGAAAGAACAAAAAAAGCACCGCCTCCTTCACCTTCGCCAGCCCCGCGGAACATGTCTTTCAAGTCCTAAAATTAAAAAATAAATTTTTTGAATTAATCAAATTTGCTTAAAAGGAGAAAAAATTCCTTTTTTTAACGAACCGAAAAGATTTTTACTTCAATTAAAAATTAATTTTTCCTTTCATTTTTAAGTCCAGCAACAATTGTGTGTTTGCCTTTCCAACCAAAAAATTTTCAAATCACACAAATTTTTGAGAAAAATGAGAGAAAGAGAATGAGGAGAGAAGACTAGGCGGGCCAAATTTGCAAAAAATCCAAAAAGTCAAAATTTTGCCAAATGCCAAAATTGTGCAACTTTTTCATTTTAATGCCAAAAAATTTGTGTCCAATGGCCATCAATTAGAAAAATTGTTTCCAAAAGGCAGACCAAAAAATTCGGTCCAAAGAAAGTTTGTGTGGGGGCAAGAGAAAGTCCTTTTGGCAAGAGAAAAGTCCTTTTTCGCCATTTTTATGTGTGGGCCAAATCGCCATTAGAATTTAGGCATAAATTCAAGGTTTGCCGTATTTATTATTCCACCTACTTAAAAATTTATTTAATTTAAAAAAATGAGATTCTGAGAACATAAAAATGTTTCGCTCTACCCCAAAAACGAAACATAAAAAATTTAGAAAAATTTTCAAAAATTTTTTATTCAAACCTGCCAAGAAAAACGAGTAGACAAATTTTGTACCAACATTTTGTGACGAGTCTCGCGTGGTGGAGGAAAACGTCCATTAGTACGACCTTCACGCCGAAAGTTTTGGCCACTATTTTTAGAAAACAATTATTGAAATTTAGAAAAAGGGAAACCTTCTATATCCGCCACCTCGATTATCATAACCTTTGTTGTCATATCGATTGTTCTCATTACGGCCAGATGTGCCTAAAAATGATTAAAAGTAAAAAGGCTAAATTAGGAAAATTGAATGTCTGCTACAAGAGACACCAGTATGGAGACATCCCACCAGTCAAAAATTATAAAAAAACTTACGACGAGAAATCTCCACAACAACTCGGTGCCCACAAAGTTCACGTCCATTTTGCTCATAGACAGCATCATCAGCATCGCGTGAGTCATCAAACTCCTCAAAAATTAAAAAAAATATTAAGATAAAAATAAACAAAAATCAAACCACAAATCCAAATCCATTTTTTAACATAACATCTCGTATTTTGCCAAATCCTTTGAAGAAATGCTCCAAATCGCGTTCAGTGGCACGAGAAGGAAGATTTCCAATATAAACTCGAGACATAGGCATTATTCTTGTATTTCTAAAAGCTTTTTAAGGTAAAACAAATATAAAAATTGATGTAAATATAACAGACAAGGGTATTTTAGGAGAATTTTTAGGTTCGCTCCCCTTACATCTCCACTTTCATTTATCCTTAGGGTTTAATGGTTACTTTTGGGGATCTAAAAATGGACCTATAAAAATTATGCATCTTCAATGGTTATTTTCGGCGATATTTAGGGGGAATATTGTCACAATACTGAGTTCCCATAGGTTTCATATCTAAATTATGTTATTGAATCCAAAAGTAACTAGTAGAACCCAATAATAAAAGAATGGAGAAAATACGAGAAACGAATCTAACTGTTACTTATTTTAGTTAATATAAACTCGTTTTCAGCCATTAATTGTGGTTTAGTCGATAAATCCAATAGCAGGATTAAAAATGTTAGGAGGAAAAATAAAAATAACATCGAGAAATATAAGAGAGGGAATGTGGTGAGTATACAGTATGCCCAAAAAATTATTGATTTTTATCGCATGATGTCAATTGACAGATTTTTTTGGAGGT